GGTTCGAATCCCGTACAGGCCTGATTTTTTTCAGGTCTGATTTTCGCTATTGGTGTGGTCACCTTTAAGCGGTCGTGTTCACCCCTTACTAAGACCCAACGGTTGGTTTGTTTTGTCTTCAACCTGTATTGAGCGGAGACATTCAAATTAAACTAAGAATTACTGATCTGTCAAACAGAAACTTAAACTTAAACTTAAACTTAATCCATGTTTATATCCCGAAATCAATGTTGGTAATAATTTTGGGTGAGTTTTTGTATATTAAGTGGTCAGTTATGAGATGATATGGAGTTATAAATTTTTTTTTTTTTTTTTTTTTTACAATGCCACTATGCCATTATTCTGTGGAACCCACCCCGCCATACCCCGTGGGTGACCACTAATACAGGTTTCACTGTAATAGCTGAAAAGACTAAAAACTTAAAAAAATAGGTATCATCGACAAATATTTTTATGTTCTTACAAGAGACAAAGAAAACGTATGGTGCAGAATACGTGAACGAGCTTTAACTTATAAGATATGTCGTTTGGACGACATGACCTCGAAAATGTATTATTAAAAAAAGCTTTCATCGAATTAATTTTTTTATGTTCGTACAGGACACAAAGAAAACATATGATTCAGAATACGTAAACGAGTTTTTAACTGAAGAAGTGTCATTGACATGACCTCGAAAATTTATAATTACAACCTTTTCCGTTAAAAAAGAATTTTTTCCAGGTGTCAGCCATTAGGTGTCTTGACGCCGTAAATAAAAATCAACGTTAAGATTAGCTGAGGCTATTTGTAAGACGGTTCAGCATGCGGTTCGCGGAATTGTTCTTCAAGAAAAAGGCATCCAAATTTTTCAAAATTGAATAAAAATGTTTGAAAGACGTCAAAAAAAAAAGGGACCTTCTTCAGCCTTCCCTTTCGCCAAAAAAAAAAGATAACAACAACCAAAATAAGAGAGGGGGAAAGAGAGAGGTTTGACAAAAAGCGCCTTCATTCTATTTGAATTTTAACTGTTTAAGGGGGCGCACAGGTTTGTTAGTAATTGTAGTTAATTGGTGAGCGTTACTCTCTGAAAGGGAATAAGTACTAATAGAATGAAGACGCTTATTTCAAATCCATCTAGATCCTAGAACTGAAAATGAAATCTTGGCGTTAATTGCGTTCTCTCTTTTATTTGTTTATTTTTCTAAAAAGCAATTTAACGAAGTGACGAAAAGTTATTAACTTTTCGTCACTTCGTTAAATTACTTTTTATTATATAAGTACTTGTTCCCTTTGGAGGGGACGTGTGGTAGGTTTGTCAGGAATTGTAATTGCTGTCACGTGTCTGTTACGTGTTACTCTCCTGAAATAAAATTAAATCTGGTACTTACTACTTCTTAATTACTAACCTCGGAACCATAGCAAGCTTTTGCCTCGTCGATCAAAGAAAATCAGTGCAACTTTTTTTCTTCTTTTGTTTTGCCTAAAGGGGTTCTTTGGTTGAAGGTTTAATTAACTTCCATCAGAAACTCTAGAGCCTTCAAAAAAAAGCTGAAAACCGAACGCTTGCAAGCCTTTGAGAGATTTTTAGCCAGAGAATGCCTATATCAATATGCAATGATGAATTCTAACCTTGGTTGCTCAACTTCTGTTTGAAACAAAACCACTTTCTTAGGTCAATCCATTAATGACCATTAATATATTTTCAGTCCAACCCATTCCGGTGCGAGTGCTATGACTGTGTCTCCCCAAAGCGCTGGCCTTCTTTTGGTTGAATAATTGGTACGTACTTCACTTCCATACTTGTAATCATGTCCGCTTTTTCAGCAATTTGCTCCTTCTAGTTTCTTTGTGCAGAAAACCCCGGCTGAAGAGTTTCACCAACCTGCTGATCGGCGCTTTAGCTGTTACAGATCTGATCAATGCTTCCATCCCTGGTGTCATGTTCTGTTCTTCACTTGTATCAAGTGTTTCGTTTAGTAAATAGGCGTTGCCTATGATGACAGATATAATTTAATTATCACAACTCGTGATTGACATTAATTCCTCACAATGATTTAAAGTGTTGGCTTGTCGTGATTTAAACCAGTTTTTCAGAAGAATCAGTAAGAGAGAGAAGTAGATTTTTGTATCTGTTCGCTTACCCGAATCTGCTAACCTGAAGTGAGAAACCTGTTTTTACGACCCGCCACAGAAGTAAGTTTCCAGTCATGTTTTCTTTAATTTTGCCACGAGATTAAGACTAAATTTGCGTTTTCTGATTTCGAATTACAAATGTATTTCTCTTAGATCGAATGTTCATTAAGGTTTGGATAATATTATACGGTTTGTGGTGGTCGTCTGAGCTGACCAGTTCCGAGTAAGGAAACATCTAGCAAGATGGTACTCGGCGTATTTGGTTGCTTTATCAGCGGGTTTTTCTTGCACTTACTGACATACGCATCAATGTCAACGATGGTGCTTACAGCCCTCAATCGTTTTTACTGCGTTTTAAAGCCTCACAAGCACAAAGTGATTTTCAGTCACCTCCGCTCGATGATATACATTGCTTCCGTTTGGTTCTTCGTCGCCATTGTCGAGATCTTCCCCATGTTATTTTCAAGGTCCACGATAGGTTTCAGCTCGAGAACGGCTACTTGTGTTATGATATGCAACACCATGGAGGTACAAGTCGGTTACACCGCATTCATCGTGGCCTTTTTCGTAGTTCTATGTTTTTGCACTATCTGTTTTTGCTATTTTTGCGTTTCTTGATTGATTCGACGACACCACATCAACACCATTTCTCTGTCAGCGCAAGAGATCGACTTGACCAAGACGTTGTTTATGCTCGTGTTCACATTCGCTGCACCATGGATCTCGACATTTTTGACGATTGTCCTATCCCGGTTGGTTGCGAAGACCCAAGTTCCTCGTCCGTTTGTCTTGATGATCACGTATCTGATTTGGCTTCCTGTGCCCGGTTGTTCCTAACAAGATGAAGAGCACGCTTCATGCCTGGAGACCGCGGCAACAAATCCACTCCCTTTCTTCTGAAGAGGAAAGTAATTCGGGAATTACTAAGGTACGCACGTTTTTCCGTTCCAACCAAACAGCGTTCGTAGTCTACAGCAAAGCCCATATCAATGCTTTACCAGGCCCAGCCTTAGTTGATTAATGATCAATAATAATAATAAAAAAAAAATTAAATTAAATTAATAATGATAATAAAAATAATAATAATAATAACACATCTGCTTCTTTATTTAGCAATTATTATTATAAGTTACAACTTTATTTAGCAATAATTTCCATAAAATCCTCTACAATACAAAATATTAACAGCGTAAAAAACGATGAAAAATAACTCACTTTCGGCTCACATCTACTCCTTTTTTTTTTTTTTTTTTTTTTTTTGTCAAAGCGTCTGGAAAACTATAAATAACGGAGTCAAATCTGAACAGATTTAAAGTCTAATAATCTGATAAGTAAAAACATATCTAATAATGATAATAATGATAATAATGATAGTGTAAGAGCAATGTAATGAGCTACTATATCAGGGCAATGTAAGAGCTGCTATCAGGAAGGAGGTAAATGCAAATAATGACGGGATGCAGTAAGTTTAGAACGCAACGAAGGACAAGGTCTCGAACAAGAACAGGTTTGCGAAATCGATAATTACTCAGCTCAAGATGAAAATTTGCATTTGCAAGTAAATTATCAGTCGACGGTGAATAATAGCATCCCATCGCAAATAAGCGCCGAGGTGAATACCATTGTTCAAATGTCACGTCTAATCTTCGCAAATTTAGCATAAAAAAGGTAACTGAACAGGTTTACAAAGCAAAAACGCAGCTATCTTTCATGTATAAAGGTTCATTATTATTCATGCCAATCAGTAAAAGAAAAAAATTAATAACACTTAATTTTATTAGTCACGCGCGCTATCGTCGTGGGGATGAATGAGCCAGGCGTTTGAGTGTCAGTTGTACAAAATTCGTGCAACATGCCCTGACATCCATTCGATGTTTTAGAATTTGGGGTCTTTTTCCGCCATTCCGTGCTTTAGGATCTAGGGTCATTTACCGCCGTTATTATTATTTGAGTTATTATAATCTGGGGTCTTTATCCGCCGCTCTGTGTTTTAGGATTTGGGGTCATTTTCCGCCGTTCCACCGTTCCTGCCTTTAGGGTCACCCGTGAATGAAAGGACAAGTTTGCATCGTGCGTGAGGGTGTAACGGAAAAACAGACCCCGAAAACTCAGACCCCGAAAACTCAGACCTCAGACCCCGAAAACCAGACCCCTCGAAATTTATTTAAATTTTATTTACCAAAGAGATTTATGTCACACAATCAATCCGCGAGTGTAGATTCACTTTGATTCAATGTGCTTTTCGCGTAATTTTTTAACACGCAGTAAACATGGTGAATGCATGTCATAAAGCGCTAAAAAATTTATTTAGGGCTATGTAAATAATGATTTTATTCTCTTAGGATCAATGGAGTGCGTGATATTTGTATCTGTCACATAACTTGTGTTCTTCACTTGTGTAACCTGATGTGTAATTAACCTTTATTGTATATATCAAATAGTTTTCTTCATTCTTTCCTGGCACCTTGCGTCCACATGTCTTTAACGATTCGGGTGGTTACGGTGTCGTGTGTGTGTGTGTTTTTTTGTTTTTTTTTTAGAGAGAAGGTCACCGGTACCGAAGGTTGGAAAAGTTACTGAGACTCGTTCGGATCGGGGCACGTTTCAATCACGGAGAGTCATTCAGAAAAAAATTCGTCGTTTCACACGACAAAGAATTCACTTGCCGGGAGCTTACGTGTGCCGAGAAGCTGGCCAAAAAAAAAAAAAGAAAACACGCAGCGGAAGGAAAAGGAGAAGGTTATCTTCTGTCAAAGGGAAAGCCAGTGAAGACAAGATGAGTGAAGGAAAAGTCTCGGCGAGGACCAAGATACGTTAAGTTGGAAACTACTACGTTTAGCTGCGTTAAACGCGAAGTGGAGTTTGGTTTGTTAAACGCGAGTCTAGGTTGTTAAACGCGAAGATTGGTTTGTGAATCGTGAGTTTGGTTTATGTGTAGTTTGTTGGTGGAACGTGGTTGTTAAGAACAGGTCAAGCACAGGACGCGAAGGTGAACGGAACTGAGCTAAAAAAAAACCTACCTTTTTTTTAATCTTAATAGTAATTACTCTTGTAAACAGTTTTAGTGTACTGGCCCCGGTTGTTCAAAGCATGGATAACTTCTTATCCGCTGGATAAATCGCTATCCAGTGGATAAATTTTATCCATGGCGTCATATCGGTTGTTGAAAGCATGGATAGCGCTATCCACTCGCTATCCAGTGGATAAATTTATCCATGGTTAGGTAGGTAGTATAAGTTTTATCCACCGGATAAACACAAATAAAATGGCTGCTCGACAGTTACATCTTCTTCGCTGTAACCTTCCCGACAATCAACATCGAAGAAAAAGGAGAATTTATCGCCGCCAACTCGATCCGTTTGAAACATATACAGACGCTGAATTGAGATCCAGGTATCGTTTTGGACGAGAGGCGCTACAGTACATCGTTGGCCTTGTTGCAGACGATATCGCTCCCCAAACAAATCGCAACCGTGCTGTTCCTGCTAGAATGCAAGTCCTTATCACCCTCAGATTCTTAGCTTCGGGTTCGTTTCTTCAAGTAATAGGTGACACTTTTCAGGGATTTGACAAGTCGACTGTCAGCCGGATAGTTCGCCGGGTGACAAAAGCCTTGACTGCAAAGTTAGGCGACTTCATAAAATTTCCGTGCACTCGTGCAGAACGAGACGAAATAAAGCAAGGTTTGTTCAGAGTAGGTGGTTTTCCCTGTGCTATCGGGTGCATCGACGGTACTCATGTCAGAATAAAGGCCCCTCACGAAAACGAGCCGGACTTCGTGAACCGGAAAGGATTTCATTCAATCAATGTCCAGGCAATCTGCGACCATCGAGGTAAGCAAGTTTGTGTTGCTCTCATTATTTGTATAGCAAAGGGTAACATTCCGTTTAACCCAAGCTTTACTATGCTTACTATCTCATGTGTATTTCAGGTATTATTTTGTCCCAAATATGAGCATGAAAGCCGAAGAATTTCGCTTTAAAATTGTAACGCTTTTCTGTCACGTA